TGTGAGATGCATTTTTTAAGTGTGCTGTATTGTTTCGCTATCAATGATTGTTAAATATAATTCCTGTATTTGATCATCTTTTCTGCTGATTGAAGGCTTCTTCCAAACTACTCTGTTCAGCGAACAGCCGAAGGTTGTATATCTGTGGATTCAGTTCTAATCAAGGTTAGTATATTAATCAAGGTTCAGTAATCGTACATCAGTAACGATACGACACCTGCTTAAAAACAGAACCATTTTTAAAAGATAACTTTAAAATTTATAGTATAACCTGAGATTTAACAGTCTTGAAAAGATAACACGAGCATTGTCGAAACATATTTTGCCAAATCAAACTTAACACGTATTTTTTCATAGTCAATCATGTGTGACCACTTTCTAGTAAAGCTCACAAGCTTTTTCATAATGACCAACGTTTTGAAAAGGGTAGTCTACTGCCTTGCTAGTCGCATTAACGATTTGATTATCTCACGTACTCGCACAATTACCTTATTATAACTGTAAAGTACTGACTTTTGCACATCCACAGTTTAATAATGTAATAGATGATAATCTTGAAAACCGCTAAAGACTGTCAATAGTCTGTTTGATCTAAGTGAATTCCAGTTAAACTCTCTTGATAGGGATTTCTTGCTGTCAGAAGACGACTATGTTGAGATCCCTCGTCTTGTCCCAGTCTCTCGTCTTAATCGTACAATTATTTACTTTCTTTTACATTTTTTTCATCTATTTATTGTATTGAAAGTAGCCCCATTTTTGTTTAGTCCATCCACTCGAACAAAGTAATGTAAATTTGTCCTTTCTCCCCGCGCCACCATCAGTTCCTAGGGTATTTGCGGGTGAGAAAATTCTGTTATCTTTATAGTTGAGTTTCAATAATTTTCATTCCCTGTAGGTATCGCCCAGTGAGGATGCAAACCATGGTCGTTCAAACTGCTTGGCTCTCGTGTCCTGGACACTACAGGTAATTACAGTCAAACCTGTATAAAAATATACACCAACAGCGAACACGCACATGTTGTCTTAATACAGATTCCTTTTACAAAATGCAGTGAAACCTCTATTTAACTAACCTCTATAATTAAACGAAGTCCTGACCTTGGTACACAAACAATGGTCTTCGCCCCAGTAATTGTACAGTGGAACCTCGGTTTTACAAACGTCTATATTACGAAGTCCTTGATATAACGAACGATTTTCTTTACCCCAATAATAGTAAAATATGTGAAAAAGAACCTCGTCACGCAAATTTTGTCAGTGCCTTGGTTTTTCGTTAAATGGAGGGTCCACTGTAAAATGTATGGAAAAAAATTTCAATATAACGAAACCTTGTGATAGCGAACATATTTGCTTAGTCCCTTGACGTATCGTTATTTCAAGATTGTACTGTATGGGCACAAACATTTGAGACTACAGTGGAATCTCGATATAACGAGGGCCGGGCCAAGGGACTGGCAAAATTTGTTCGCTATGACGAGGTTTCGTCATATCGAGGTTCTTTTTCATATATTTTACTATTACTGGGATAAATAAAATTACAGTGAAACCTCTATTAAGCGGACACCTTCGGGACCTTGCCAAGTGTCCACTTAATAGAGGTTTGTAAAAATTGCGCAATGTTTGTTAACGATTTTCTGTCAGCGGTTACTCTGTATTGTGATAAAGTTCCATGTTGTTAAGGAAGCTAAGGAAGCTGTACTGTAGTTTGTGCAAGACTTTAAGGTGAACTTTGATCGCGGATGCATGACAATCATACGGCCGGATATCGGTCTAATCTACAGTTTATTGACAGGCTAAATGTATTGATTTATCTTTATTAATCGACTACAGTACGTATTTCAGGGACGTAATCCAGTACTACTATTATCAGTTCAGTCCAGTGTCCGCTTAATAGAGGTTGTTAATAATAAAAATTAGCCAAATATAATTTTTTTTTAGTGTTTGCGTCCGCTTAAAAGCGCTGTCCGCTGAATAGGGTTTCTTTATCAAGGGAAATATAAGATGGACCCGGCTTAGTGTCCACTAAATAGAGAGTGTCCCCTTAACTGAGGGTCCGCTTAAAAGAGGTTTCGCTGTATTTTTTAATACCGAGGAATTCGTTATATAGAGGTTCGTTATATCGAGGGTCCTGTCACTGACTTACGCCGCGTTTCGGCTCAATAAACGCTTTCATTGCAATGAAAACTTGAAGTGAAACGTCCTTGGATGGCTAAATGTTTCGATGTTATTGGGTGAGCATGGAGCACTATTTATCGGGGAAGGATCCTGCCGATGTTCTCACTTGGGGTAAAATGTTGGCTTAGGGGAGGGGTAGGTGGGCAGTTTCCCAAAAACGTATAATAATCCAAAAGTTTAACGTTTGAGCTGGGCCTAACAGTTCCATTGTTCCTCTTTTGGCCAGGAAGAAGAATTGGGAAGTCACGTGTTCTCTTTGCTTCATGACCGAATAGCTGTTGCTTAGGACTCAAGCTGACGGTATCTGTTGGTTTTTCCTTGAGTTGATCACCACTGTAATTGGCAGAGTGGCCAGTGAATACTGGTATCAGCAAGCTCGCAAAGGCTCTGCGACATAACCTGTCAGGATTAGAAGAGACCGGCCCAGCCTAGGCAAAGTGTTCGTTTCTATTGTAAGAGTTTTCCGCGAAAGAACAGATATGAACATATAAAAAGAAACGAATATCTATTTACTAGATATGGAGGAACGCATTTCACTTTTACCAAATTAGTTTACAGGAATACACTTTTACCTAGGCTTTATTCAGGAGGTGACGTCATTGGATGTCCCTAGCTATCCCAAAACTATCCTTAGCTATCGCAAAGTGCAACATAGTAGAATCTTGCAAGATAGTTATACAACCGAACCTCCACTAGCAGCCACCTCTCTACAACGGCCTCTTCTTTTTTTCCCGGTGTGCAGTCCATACGATGACTCTGCTTTAAACCTCTACAACGGCCACCTCTCTACAACGGCAAAGTCCACTTAAGCGTATTCCTAACTCCCAAAATAACCTCTCGAAAACGTCAAGAATGGTCATGAAATTTGATCTATATGGCGCGTTGATGATTGATCGGGGCAATCGTGTTTTGATTGTGTTCCATTTATACTGCTAGAGTATTAAGCATAAATTGTCTACAGTACTTTTTCGTTTTGTCACGTTAACATTTTGATTCAAAACATTACTTTCAAGTTTTTTGGTTATTTTATCTCCCTATATATTATTTATGATTGTATTAACATTATGGGAGACAGTAAGCATGAACTTGACATAATAAACATGTACTACCTAAAGGGAATTTGTCAAATTACACCCCTGCCTTCCCAAAACGCCCACCTCTCCACAACGGCCACTTTCTTCTTTACCGGAGGGCATTTTGAGTGCTCATGCGTGCAACCGCTGTACAAAGAGGGTGGGATTGCGGTAATCAAAATGGCGCGGGAAATTCAAATTGTACTTTTCATGTTCATTTCTCATTGTAAGTTTCACTATACAAGGAAATCGTGCTGCAGAAAAGTGCGCAGTGTGTGGCAAGACTATTGTTGGAGAGGACGGACGGCCTGCTTCTGGATATAAGAAAGATTTTCTACCTTGCTTCGGCATCGATGCGAACACTGACGGGAAAATATGTGGGCAGTGCAGGAAAGCCGTAACAGACCACCGAAAATCGGGGCAAAAGTTTTTTATGTAAGTAAGATAAATTTCAGATCGTATCGTACTTAAAATGTAATCGTCTCAAAATGAAACATTTCTGATTACAGCTGGTCGGAAAGTTTGCACGAGGAAGGGAAAGGCCGCCGCGTAAGAAAGAATTTCCCCCAAAATGTGCCGTTTTGGATCTTACCCAAGGCGATCGAAAGAAATTAACGTCAACTGCAACGCAAACAGTGGAACGAGTTGCTGATGCTGTCGACATAAGTTCCCGTGGCATGTTAGATTTAAGTGAGTGGGAGGTGGTCCCCTCGGCGATACCCTAATGCCAGCAAGGCTATTTGAAGAAGTAACGGACCACAAGAATCAGCTATCAAAACGTAAGACTCACAACAGTTTATAATCATCTTCTCTTTTTTTAGGGAGGGTAGGGGAGAAATAACACAACTGCCCCAAGAAGCACACGGAACAATATTTTATTATCATCTTACAGGGTGCGACTTAAAAAAAGAAATTCAGCTACTGAAGGAGAGGATGTATCAAGAGTTTACTTTGCGCAGGAGGCCTCCAATCTACGATCCTAAAGAGTTTCAAATCTTCTGTCGTTCAGCCGGAGCCCCCACCATTTTCGATACAATATTAAACGCAATGACGGACCTAAGACATTCACAGTTAAGACTAGGCACCAACGAAAAACGAACTGTTGCCATCATTTACAAGCTATGTTACGGAGTTAGCCAGGTTTGCAACTGGTTGCAAACCGACCATGTGTTGTTTCTAAAAGAGTCAAATCTAAACCAAAGAGTCTTCGAAGCCCAAAGAGAAATGGGAAATTCCTGTTGCCGTAGAAGAGTCAACATTCTACATGCGGAACTTGCAGAAAGTAACACAAATAAGATAGGAGAACTGATTTCGGAAGCTATTAAAGAACAATGGCAACTGGTGTTAATCATTGACCATTACACTTCAGTACACAGCAAACGACGTCCAAAAACTATGCCATCTCAAGAGTATGTGCACAATAGTAGTTAAAGTGTTTAAAAATGTCAAGACATTACCTCTTGTGTCAAGACTTTGTCGAGTTCATCCTCAATGTACAAACTGGCCTTTACCTATTCATCTGCAATGCCTGCCTGGATACGTGACACGTTCTTCAATCCAGAACTCGAAAGGCACAGACTTGCCGTGCATGAATATAATGAGAATGACTCTGTGAGGACGATGAGGCAGATGACAGAGGTTCATTTACTGCAATTCATTGAGCTTACTCTTAAAAGCAAGAAGGACTTTTCGGCCTCATATGACATTGTTCTGAGTACAAGAATGTCTGACTACTTTAAAAATTTCTTGTAATTCAGCCTGGAGACTGGCCTGCGCAGTTTTACAGTAGACAGATTATTTACGAAACGCTGCAAAACTACTATCGATTCTCCTCCGATACACTTCATGGTACACCCATTCCTATGGATCATGAATATACAACACCATTTAATTCTGGATATCGTCAGTGGGCAACTGCCGAAGAAAGTCCTGCATATGTCAATAGTCAGCCTGCTATCTTATCTCTTATTCCATGTATAGGTCCTCTTCACATCTCTCTGAACGGCAGAAAAACAGTAATTAAAGATTTTGTGGGCTTCTTTGAAAATATTTACAATAATCTTTTTCCCAGAAACAAGTTGCCAAAAACCCTAGGCCATGGCGCATTAGTCTTTTTCTTGAAATCGTTTATGGAGGCTGGCTGTTTAGCAGGGAAGCTGTGAAAGAAAAATCCAAAGTTTGTAAAGACATATAGAGTACATGACATTGCTAAACTTGTTAGACAATTACATACCACTTGTTCTGACAATTTACAGCACATCTTTCAAGCTAAACAACTTCTTTGAATACTTCAATGCAATGATACGAATATGGACTATGTTCATGTGTCTCGAGCGGCATCATTACGACAAGGCTCCTCTTGTATGGATAGCGATGTGTACTTACTGGGGGATAAATAACCCTGACCTATATCTCATGCTTCGTTTGTTTTTAGTTATTTTTGTGGAAAATGCCCACAGCATCATTAGATCAAAGACAATCGACAGTGACACAATTGAACAGATGTAGCAGAAGGCAAAGGCTTCATTTCAATCAAAAGCAGCCCAGCATTCATTTAAATCTTATTTTTCCCCTCCTTCTAGCTTCAGCTTTAGTGCTAACCAGCTGAAATATCTAAAAATGAAATGTGCAGCATTAATTTCTTCAATATTCATAAGATAGCCCAGAATCCATGAAAAGGGGAATTCAGAGGCAAGGGGAAAACCCTGAGGGTGGTTTTGCCAAGAATCTTTGGACCAGACCCTGTTAAAACCAAAGTACTTCCTCTAGGATATTGCTCTGAGATTATGCCTGATCCCGACAGGATATGCGACATGCCAGGTTGTACTGTAACAAATGATGCTGAGTGGGTTCTCTTTGAAGGATGCTCTCACTCATTTCACCTCACTTGCCTCTCAGGAATCCAATACTGCCCACTGTGCCAAAAGTTTATACAGCAAAAAGCATATAGCCTGGGAACCACAGCAAAGAATGCTATCCTCAACCCCAAAAACAGAAACACAGAGCAAAACAAAGGCAGTGATTCAGTAACACCACAAGATGAATCTAACTTGCTTGACACATCAAAGGAACCTACATGTAATGTACCTAACAGTGAAATAAAGGATTTGGATGCCAATATTACTTACTTGATCAATCAAATATCTACCTTATCACCTATTGCCCCTCCATCACAAAGGAAACACTCTAAACAACAGCAACCCACTATAGTCACTAAACCACCCCACTGTAAGAAGTGTGGCCATCCAGTCAAAGGGCATAAAAGACCAAAAGGAAATCAAGTCAAGTGTGAGCAGTGTCCTGGGGGTATATGTACATCTACTGATGCTGATAGATGCAATTGTAACTGTGGGTGGCACCGTACAGACACATCGCAACAACTTCGCTCAATCACTAACCAGCAAGTGTTACAAACACCCACTAATCAACTAGCTCTTCACGTCACACTCCATGGCTCAAATTTGTCAGTCTATGATTTTTGGTATTCCAATAGGAAGTATTGCGTGTACCGTCAAGGGGGCAAGCAAATTCCTTTCTGGAGAGCTAATAATACCTTCAAATGATGAAAACGTTCTCCGAATTGCGTCAGCATTTGCTGGTATCATCAAGTGTGTTAACATTATGTACAGGCAAATCAACTTACCACCAGGCCAAGTTAACCTGATGTCAGAGAAGCTATAGCCACAAGGAACGACCAGTTTTCCTTAATGATCACAGAAGACATTGGCATATTTTCAACTGAATTTCTATAAAGTAAAATGCAGGAAATTGTTCAGATATCAGAGGACACATGTACAATATTAATTGTTCCACCTGACAAGTCTATACTTATTTGCTTTGACCATACACAGAGAATAACGGCTTTATTTGAGAGTCATGAACACTAAGGTTATGGTGGTCTGATTGCTGTAGAGTGTTATGATGATATCAGAAGATTTATTATGTATATTGAGCACATGGTTGCTCGGGACTGGCAGACCAGAATTCCTGGTACAAATATGACTGTTCTCAAGACAAGAAGTGTAAATTTATAACTATCCATTGACATCAAGTAATGGCAAATTGCAGCTGAAAAACGATTTTTTGGCCCCATAAGAAATATATTTCTGAAAATACATTAATCGCTGGTTAATTTAACACCATATTTAATTTGGGGAGAAGCGCTAGATTTTGAGTTTTGCAGCCAAATACTATGCAGATTACTGTAATAAATTGTAAACGAATAGTGTAGCAGCAGAAAGCATTAAAAAATTTCACAGTTGAGGTTGATTGCAGTCATTTTTTCCTCTTGCTATTAAGAAAGAGTGATAATATCATAGTGTGAAGCTTTCAGGGGGAATGCTCGATTTTGTAAACAAAACCACATGTTCCCGCAACCAAAAAATATCCACCAAAACCAAAGTAGGAACAATTTTGGACTGTATTAGTTTCCAAATAAGCTTTACAATCGTATACAGGCGACCATCCAAAATTGTACGAGCGAACAAAAATCTAAAGACAAAACCATGTGCTCACATCCGGGTTTTTGCACTTAATCATTTCATTTAAGCGTCACTGAAATGTCTCATTTGAAAATTGAATAAACAGTGTCACGTCCATTTCCGGCTGTAACATCCTGCCCCCGTGTTCGGCTACATCAGTTGGGCGAACCCTCTTCCAAAAGGGCTAATTTCGCTACAGGGCGTCTTAATAGACCAAACTTTGTCTTCAATTCAGCTGATCTTACAACATTGTCAGATCCAGGGAAAACGGTCACAATCCTGCCAAGAGGCCAGTACCCTCTTGGAGTTCCATAGTCAACTATAAGCACGAGGTCACCAACCTTCAGGTTACGTACAGCTTGGAACCATTTCTTGTTGGCAGTTAAACCAGGTAAATACTCATGCAACCATCTTTTCCAAATGTGGGTGGTGATGACTTGCGCTTGTCGCCAGCGCTTTTGGCTTGATATCTCCTTGTCAGCGAAGATTCCAGGTGGCAAGTTGGGGGTCGCTCTGCCAATGAGGAAGTGGTTTGGGGTTAACGCTTCAAGATCGTCCGCATCTGAACTCACTTCAGTCAATGGACGACTGTTGACTAGGGATTCAACTTCAGTAATTGCAGCTAACAACACCTCATCCGTCAGAACTTGATTCTGTAGAACAACATCAAGGGCTTTCTTGCAGGACCTTACCAAACGTTCCCATACCCCCCCATGTGGGGTGCTGCAGGAGGGTTGAATACCCATTGAATTCGTTCTTTACTCAGCGCGATTGCAATTTTGTCCTGATTCCACCCATTAAGACACTCCTGTATTTCGCGATTCCCCCCAACAAAGTTCGCAATGAAGGCGGGGTGTCGCTTGGATTCACCACGAATCCACTGAAACACGGTGCTACTATCAGTCCACAGGTAGGTAGAGTCTATCCTTTAATCATGTTCCTTGATTACCACAGTAGATAACCTTGCACTTAAAACTGCAGCTTGCAGCTCTAGTCTAGGGATACTCAAAGGTTTCTTGGGAGCCACACGCATCTTAGCTGTTACAAAGGCACACTTGACAGAACCGTTGGCATAACTGAATCTGAAATAGGCTACAGAACAGAATGCTTGTTCACTTGCATCACCAAACACATGAAGCTGAATAACGGTGGGACTGTCGGAAACATGACGGTAAAATCGAGGAACCAAGAATTCTGATAGACTATCCAGCTCTTTCTGCCATTTGGACCACTCTAAGAGGAACTCTGATGGAGGGGTTTCATCCCAGCCAATACCAAATTGCCACACTTGTTGAAGGAGGAGCTTCGCTCTCACCGGGAATGGAGCCAGGAAACCGATTGGGTCGAACAATGACGCTATCAAACTCAGAATTTTACGTCGCGTGTCTGCTATATCTCTTTTCACCACTTTATAGACAAAACAGTCCAATCTTGTGTCCCAAATAACACCGAGGGCATGTTCCACAGGCATAACAATATCTTCCTCTACCACCTTGATGGAGGGGGCTCTTTCTTGATTCTGGTATACGTTCTATCACCTCTTTCACGTTCGAAACCCACTTGGTCAAGTTAAACCCAGCACGCTTTAGCATCACAACAAGTTGCTGTTGCAGTTCAAGTGCGTCACTTGTCTTTACAGACTTAAATCATCCATATGAAAATTGCGCTTAATAGCACGAGCAGCAACAGGGTACTGCAGTCAATTGTCCTCTGCCGTCGTTACAAGGGCATAATTAGAACACGTTGGTGAACACTTAGCCCCAAAGATATGTCGCAGGTACTGATAGACTTCAATTTCAGACTCCGGTGATTGACACCACAGAAAACGGAGGGCAGCTTGATCCTCTGGTGGGACAGCAACTTGGTTAAACATTGCCTCTATGTCTCCAGAAGGGGCAACTTTTTCTTCTCTGAATCGCATGAAGATTCCAACAAGATTGTTCAACAAGTCAGGTCCACTTACAAGGTGACTATTCAATGAAGACCCTTGATACTTAGCCGCTGCATCACATACACGCCTGACCTTTCCAGGTTTATTAGGGTTAAGTACGAAATGGTGAGGGTGGTACCACGTACGCTTTGCTTGGTCAGCAGTTTCCTCTTTGGTGAGTCTCTTGATATACCCCTTTTCTAGGTCTGTGTCAATGGTTTTCTTGTAGGCTTCGCCCAACTCAGGATCACCTCGAAGTCTCTTCTCTAGAAGACCAAGTCAGTGAATAGCCACAACACGATTGTCAGGAAGTTGGATGTTTTCATCCTTCCAAAGCAGCC